AAGAATTCTCGTGTTACCTCACAATGCAATAGCGTTTATCAAACCTTTTTGAAACGAATCAGACTCAGAGGTCTACGCTTAACGTTGAAATTGGATATGCTTCTACCTATAGTGTCCAAAAGTCTATTTAGAATGCATCGAATTTGCTCAAGTCTACCACACTCAGAACGGTCAGAGCACCTATTAATTCCTTTTAAAACTGGAATTGTTGCTTGACCATTAAGCACTGACCATCAGCAATCGTCACACAAGTCTTTATTGCTGAACATTCGAAGCGATGAGATTTTCTTAGTCGCACCTAATTTTGAAATTTTTCATTCAGACCTACGACAATTGCTTTTATGCTCCAAACTTTGGCTGAAATGGCTTCCATAATTTGTTATTCCTTACATCAAAATTTCCAATTCCTAAGATGCATTAGGAACTCGGCGTGAAAAGCTTCAGCGCTGTAATTTCGTTTTACCAAGAGCTGGAGGTAGCATATCTATCGTCAATAAGGTACTTAAATACTTTCTCGAAGAACACACTTTCTGAATTACTTAAAAGTGCGAAGATTGAAGAAAACTAACACAACACTTTTTATTATCATCTTTAAAATCTTTATTAAAAGTAATTAGAAAAAGTAGCTATTTTTGAGGCGTTCTCGACAACGTGCCAGTTCATTGGTAAAACAAACAGTTTCATAATCAGTTTAACCAAGTCTACTGTTTCATTAAGTGTTCGATGCTCGGATTGTTGTACCAGGGATGAACTAGCATGGAACCTCCGTCGACCACTATAGTTTGTCCGGTAATAAATCCAGCTGTTTCGTCATCACACAAAAATGTTATTATGTGTGCAATATCGTCCGGCATTCCGTATCTACCAATTGGAATACATTCTTCAATTACAACTTTGAAAGCCTAAATCACTGTTTATTGCTGTCTTTAATGTACTACATCATATATTAGAAAAACAATTGTTTTGTAAAGTGTTTCAGAAGGTAAATGTGAACAATAAACTGAACGCGTATGACGCTTTACTTAAAAATTAACTTACTCTTTCTTTCATTTCCTCTGTGACGCTGCTGTCTCTAACAATATTCGTCATGACAGCTCCCGGGCTAAAGTAAAAAACTGGCTTGTGCTTTAGAAAAAAATGTGAGCGTGGTAACTATAATCATTATGTTGTTTTTTCTGGCGGTTTAGGATATAAAGAGAAACATAAGTTACAAAAATTTTTCAAAAGTAGGAAGCTACACATATGTTTGTTCTTGGCATTTTTAAATCACAATCTATTTAGTGCTTTTTCGACTTCTGTTTGAGGTATAAGAGGAAAGCTATTAAAACACAGTGTAGGGATGTTGTAAAACACGTATAATTTGAAGAAACAGATGAAAGACTGAAATGGTAAATTAGCCTACTTCACAGCATTGACGCGTACTCCGTATTTGGCATTTTCCAATGCCAGTGTTCTGGTGACCTGGTCTAATGCAGCCTTTGCAGTCGAGTAAAAAATTTTGGGCATCTGCAGATCTCATAAGCAGTTTCAGCGTTGAAAAATTATGTGTTGATAAGAAAATTTGGATAAATTTGCAATTATTTTATAAAAATTACAAATAACTTCATTTGAGCAAAAAATAGCGTTATGTATCTGAATAAGATTCTAACTAGAGGATAAAAGCGATTGTAGAAATAAAGTATCGTATTGAAATATTCTATGCCTTCTACAATATTTTGCTATATAAAATTGAGCAAAATTTCTTTTTAGAAAACTGAATAAACAACTTTTTAGTTTTCATAAACTCAAACTTTACAGAAATTTTGATTCAAGCGTCCAGTTACTCTGTCTCAATCAGCTTCGAGTTGATCACTGAAAAAAGGTGATAAATTACCGCTGTTTTAGCAGCTATACTGCTGACATTTAGAATACATCCTTTGGTAGCTTTCAGATGTGGCAAGGTTTTACAACTCATCGCAAAAGAACTGAAAAAAAGCTATTAGCTTTAAACATTAATTTATAACTGAATCAGTAAGGGAAGATAAGAAATTGAGAAGTAAACAAAGTCATGAAGTAAAATTAATTTTTTTTGGATATCAACAAAACATTTTTTCTTAACTACTTCTTCAGGAGCAAAATTTATCTTTGGAAAGTTTCAACTAGAAAATTCATGCAGGATAGCCAAAGAGCGCAGTCAGCCAAATATAGCGATAGAAAATGCTCGTTACTTCTGAACTTTAGCTTTTACAGCAGTATTATCTTTTTGTGTTTAAAATCTTTTCTCTGTTTCCGGGAATACACAACAGAAAAGTCAAAAAAGAGATGCATAATTAAAATAGAAAAAATTTCAAATAATTAGTAGCATTTTGAAAAAAGTTAATTTTCGTGATAATTACAGTGAACAATTTGACCAATTATTTGCCAGTCAAATAAGCAAAGGCGCTTACTAAAAGGATACTTCAATTGATCTGTGTAAGTAGTAATATACCTTTTACAATTAGTAGTAATATTTTCATCGAAGTTATTTAAATCAAAGTTGCCAGCATCATCTCGTTCACGAAAGACAGCTCCATGGTTATTTACCTAGATGTATTCAAATGACATAAAAACCGTATCTTTACCTTTAAACTTCAGGAAGAACGACCACCTGAATTTCGGCAAGCTTCTGGTGGAAAAGTCAAAGCAGCAAACCAAAACAAACTAGAATGATACTGTTTTCTTCCATAATTGAGCGTTACAACTTCGTATTTTATGTTTCTTCAACTGATTTTAATAAGTCAAAAAAAGCTATTGCTTCATTGATCAGTGTAGTTCTTGGCCACTAATGGTGCCCTTCACTATATTTCCACAGCAAATATAACCACAGTCAAATTTGGCTTTACTTACTTGAACGAGATTACTAAATTTTGTGCACTTTTGTATAGAAAAAATACTTAAAAAAAAAAACAAAAGTTCATGTTTTTCTGAGAATAAAGCAGAAAAGAAGTATTTTTATGTAACCACTGCTATTGCTGATACCAACTGACCCGTATTTATAACGAACTTCCTGTTCCGCTTCTCATTTTCTGTTTCAAATTGATTTCACAGCAGAACAATTAACAAAAAAATAGGTTTTTAGAAAATGATTTTATAGCACTTAAAAAATGCTAAAAACTAATTTTTTGCTTTAAATAAGATAGAACAATGTGCAAAAAAGGGTAACGAAACAATCAAACACTTTTCTACTGGCGTTTTTCAGGTTTCATAGTTTTATCACATAAAAATTTCTGCTACCTAATCATTTAAGATCATTTAAGTTGCACGTTACAGATGACAGTAAATAACTTAGATGATTTCAAGTAACTAGACCATTAACACAGTCAGCAAAATTGAGTTTTTGACAAATAACAATTTTTAAAATAAGAAAAGTTATTTCTTAAAAAAGTAATCGTAAAAATTTCAAAATTACAAACAAATTTTGAAAAATAAAAAAGATTAGTCAAAAGTAATTACCAAAATGTCTAATTTGCCAAACTTCTTCACTGTTTCGTTAACAAGTTTCTCCTAAACGTCATCATTCTTGATATCACCAATTAAAGCAAAAAGGTCAGCTTCTTTTGCTCCAACATTTACGCATTCTGATTTTGTAACCTAAAGTAAAGTGATCAAACAATAAATGTCTGAACTGTGAATGTTATTCGGCACTGCATATGAAGGTTTTTAACTCCAGAGTTGAACCTGAAGTGCTTCTTTGTCTCGTCCAGTGATCGTTACTTTAGCTCCATCTTTAGCAAACATTATCGCAGTAGCTTTTCCAATTCCATGACTGGAACCTGAATTTTACGCAGTCATCCCCAAAGCGGAGAGTACAAAGTGTAAAAAGCACAAAAAGTGCAGAAGGAGAGTTTTTTCTGGAGAACGCGGACATTTTTTCCAACCACATAACAAAGCAACAAAAACGGCTCATCGTTCTTGGAAATAAGAAAGAGGAAATCTGCAGAAACATGAACTTTGAAATTAGACAAATTGTTCAAAGAAGAGTTGAGATTAAACTTGACGTAAAGTTAAGCTATTTATATAAATAAGGAAAAATTATTTACAACAAATTCAGACCTGTAACTATCACCACTTTACCAGAAAAACGAGCCATTGTGAGCAACTTTGAGTACGAGCTAACAACACTGTTGGCTTCGCTACTGTTTAGTTACGTCTGTCACGTAACAAACTAAATAATGGTTGAATTTTCCGTGGTTTTCTCAGTGTCTCAGTGACTACCACATAAGCATCCCCCAAGTTGGTCACGAGTGAACACTATTTTTGACACTAAACTATCGTCTGTCTTATTTTTTCACACTTTAGGGTAAAAAATAAAGCAAAAAACTTTATGTGTGTTGCAATTATTCTCTTTTTGCTCTACCAGTCCGACTTAACAGTTATTTTCACAGTATTAGTTCGCACCCAAAACGATATGTTTTGAATAAAGTCAAATATTTTTTTTTAATAGTTAAATTACAAAAAAAAAAACTGCTGTTGAACGCAGGCTTACTTAAAGAATGGTAAGGTACTAAAGTTTCAGCTTAATTTAGTTGAATACCATATAACCTTTTAATATCTAATCAAAAAAGTCAAAAAGCTTAGCAGAAGTGCCGAAAGTTTTAACAGGAAATGAGAAGCGTTTTGGATGACAGCTATCCTCAGCTTGTGTAACTTTTTTAAAGTTCTTCTGAATTTATTCTTTATTTGTTTCAGGAAACATCATTGATGATCATATCACAACAGCAAAAGTGCTAACATCAGTGAAATGAGTAATGAGGTAATGAGGTAATGACATGATGTCGTTTTCATTCAAACAT